CCCCCCCCCCCCCCCGCAACAATACCACCTAGGCTCTTGGCTTTTGCATCTTTCCACTCCATTTCCTCTCATCATTATGGTTGGGGCCAACTCTGTGGTGATGCCCAAGGGGAGGCAGGGGTATCAGAGCTTTTGGGGGGAGTCAGGTCACCCTTCATTACCTCTTTCCTCCCTGTTGCATTAGATTTGTCACACTCTGACAGAAAAACTTGTTGCCATGACGATGGGCTCTGGGGCTAAGATGAAGACTTCAGCGAGTGTCAGCGACATCATTGTGGTGGCCAAGCGGATCAGCCCCAGGTGAGTAGTCAGTGGCCTTGAGGTCCCATATACCAAAAGGGAAGCTGAGGTAGCAGGCAGTGGTCAGGCTTTGCTGGGAAACAGTAGGTTAGCAATCTCAGCTGTCTGAGTGCCCAGTGTATACAGAGTAGCCCAATATGGGGACTTCCAGGCTGTTCACCCATGAGCCCCATCACCAGCATGAGTTCTTCTGACAGCAGCTTCGGCATTGATTGGCTTACAATCTGAAGTTCTGTGGTGGCCACTCCTGCTTCCAGTCACATAGAGCTGGCCTGCCTCCCTTGCTACAGTATGGCAACTAGCAGGTTGCATTTCTTACTGGTGCCCACACTGTTATCTCTAATGGCTTCCCAGCAATGCCCTTGGGTCCAACCTGTATCTGCACTGGGACCTTCCTTGCAGCAGTGACTCTCGTTTACTGTCCACAGACCAGTACTGGGTGGAAGGTGAAGCAATACAACATTCAGACTTCTGAGATTCCAGGCTGCCTGCAAAATCCTTCATGGGAGGCGCCCTGCAGGCCTGCAGTCAACAACTACACCCCCTCAGTTGGACTGGATTTTACAAAGAAAATTAAGGCCCTTTTCTTAGAGCATAAAGCCTTTTACTTAGAGCAATGTGTGTTGCCACCTGGTGGTTGGTATGTGGATATGCTGGAGTCCCAGATGTCCTCATAGTCACCTGACCCCTCTGCCTTGAGTGGCCTCCACAGTGAGTTCTTGGGGCTTCTGTAAATCACAAGGAACCAGCCCTTTCTCGCCTCAAGAGTAACCTATTGAAAATCAGGAGGGCCCTGTAAGGTCCTATGAAAAATACAAGATTTTGTGTACTTGAACTCTGTCCAAGTAATTGAGAAAGTGGGAGGGAGGGAAGTAGGAGGGAGGCCAGAGTAGCTCCTGGTTTTGAGTTGTCCCAGTGGGTGTAACTGCATGGTTTGTATCAGCTCCTCCATAAGGCACCCCACCCAGGCTCCAGGCTTGGGCTGGACATTCCTGCAAACACTCACCATGTTTAGACTCTGCACTGCTCATGTCTACTGGACCCTTCCTCGTGCTTTTTGTCACTTTCAAGAGCCACTCATGGGGCTGGATGATCCCTGTTGTGCTGGTTATAAGGCGGGGTGTGAGGGCACTGAGTTTTCTGAGAGGAACAAAGTTAGCAGTGTGCCAAGGTGAGGGTGTGGCATTGCCAGAAGGGTGGCCCAGCCTGGCGCTCACTGCAGAGCACTCTGGACTACTTCATGTTTCTTGCCATAATTCTTTTGTTTCCTTCTTTTGCCTCATGCTTTCTTCTGACTGATCTTTGTCCCCATTGTCCCTCTTGTTCCATTTGCTCCATCTGTCATGTTGATGACTTGTTATTTCAAGGAGAGTGGCTTGTGCTGTGAGCACTGCAGAGGGGGCAGGGGCTGGTTGGGACAGGTGCTGAGGGCCACCATGCTTCTGCACCTGCTTGCCATTTCCTTAACCTTGAGTAAGAATGAAGACATTTTTCTCAGTGCTTTTAGAAATCAAACAATACATACTTTATTTTTTCTTTCTACCAAGTGATCCACCAGCAAAGATTTGAAGCAAAATCTTGTACCCCACAAATCAGAATGGGTGGATGCTCCTTTCTGAACTTGAAACATTAAGCATGGACTATACAGCAGGGAAAAGGCGTTACAGTGGAGCAGTTGGAACCCAAATTAAGCTGTGACATGTTTTTAGTATTCTATGTTACTCTATTTTAGCATGCCTTTTAACCATGAAAGTAATACATGCTTATGAAAGTTAAAATGCTCCCGAAATATGTATGACCTTGCACATTTAAACCAGTGTAACAACGACAATAACAACAACAAAGCAGAAAGCAAAATATTCTTCAAGCAGAACTCGAAGTCTTTGTTAGACTCAGTCTGGGCAGCAGAAGCAGCGAGAGAAAGACCTCTGAAGAGTGACTGTGCCATGCCAGCAGTGCCTGGTATGAGGATGGAAAGGAAGGAGGGAGAACGAGACAAGGAAGGTGAAATACTGACCACAGCCCCTTTGCCTCCCCCCAGAGTGGATGATGTAGTGAAGTCGATGTACCCCCCGCTGGACCCCAAGCTCCTGGATGCACGGTGAGAGGGGAGAAGGGGGGACCACTCACCTTGTCATGCGTCAGGGTCTCTGTTATCAAGGCTGTGAGGTAGCTGCCTGCATTGTTTAGAAAGGGATGTTTTGCTAGGTTCGCAAGGCCGCTCCTGGCTCTGGGTATATTCCCTTCCATGTGAATGGTCAGCCAATCAGTAAGCAGAGCCTGTCAGTCTTCTTCCTGAACCCCTGAGAAGAAAGAACCATGCTTCAGGCTTGGATTTGCAAGGCTAAATCTCTGGCTGTGCTAACCGTGCCTCCCTGCCTTTCACTCCCACTCTGATCTTTGGACTCAAGAAGCAGCACACCTAGCTGGGAGTGCTGTCCAGTGGGGCTGTGGTGAGCCCAGCAACGAGAGCCTCTTAACATCAGCGGCAGTGGTGCTCACTTCCTACCAGGCGTCTCAGGAACCCTCCTCTCCAGATCGTCCCCCAGTCCAGAGACTACACTCAGCCCTACTGGATTTAAACCCATAAAATACCCACATGTTCTCCCCCCTTGATTTGTAAGACTCCTGTGGACATGTGTAATGGTTGCCAGGTGGGCAGAAGGCCATGGCATGTCCACTTTGCTTTCTCTGCCTTGTGTCTGCTGCTGCCCAGCTTTCTCCATGGGTTAATAATCAATAATGTAGCCCAAGATGTGTCAAGCACACTCACTATATAAAAATTATTTGATAAAGAGTCTTTCAATCCTGAAAAAAAACTTCCTCTATTTGATTTTTCAATTACATTTTTTAGCATTGAGTAACTCAGTCCTGGGCTTATTGATTTGTGATCAATAAGGGATGCTCAATGAGGCAGGATATATAGCCCATCTTTAAGTGGGCAGCAAGCAGTTGGAGATCTGCTCATCCAGTTGACCACATCTAACTGTTTCATAAAACACCCTTCTGGGAGCTGTTAATAGGTATGCTGCAGAAAGTGGCTTCTACCATCTTAAGTTTGAGTCACAGCTATCCCAGTCTCCCCGTGGAGCTTCATTGGGTTCCTCAAAGACTCCAAGTCAGTCTTTACTTAACCTTGCTTAAGCCAGCTGTCCCCAGTCTACTCTGGCTTGAACCTGTTATTCTCCATGCCCACCCACCTCAGGGAAGGGTCTCCAGTTTGGGGAACAGTAATCTAAAGTGTACCTACTTGGGGTTTTATGTGGAGTCCATCACTTTCTACAGAGTCTGATCTTGTTTTTTTTTTTTTTCCTAGGACAACTGCCCTGCTCCTGTCTGTCAGTCACCTGGTGCTGGTGACCAGGAATGCCTGCCACCTGACTGGGGGCCTGGACTGGATTGACCAGTCGCTGTCTGCTGCTGAGGAGCACCTGGAAGTCCTTCGAGAGGCAGCCCTGGCTTCTGAGCCAGATAAAAGCCTCCCCAGCCCTGAGGGCTTCCTGCAGGAGCAGTCAGCCATTTAATCTGCAAGGCAGCAGGCTCTGTCCCTTCTATTCTTAGCTGAGTCTTCTATTTTCTGTAGATTTAGTTGTTCTCCAGAGCTCAGGAGTCCATCTGTGAGTGCAGAGTAAAGCCAGGAGCCTCATCGTGGATGCCTCTGCTGCAGTGGCAAACAGTGGCTGGAGCGTGGCAGTCTAATACCACAATTGGGGAAATGTCATTTACCTCTTCAGCAGAGCGCATTTGACTGGAGGACTGCCTGCTTGATTTAGCTCATCTAGTGTTTCCAAGAAAACTGAGCTGCCTTCTAAGAATCGAGAAGCTTCACATTAGATCAGAATTTCTGGCTTCTGACAATCAAGGTGTGGCAACACTGATCTGCATTTTCAGAGAACAATCAGGCAGAACTGAGTAGAAGTTGCCTCTTTGGGTGAGACTTGCATTCTCCCCGTGACTTGTTTTGTTTGTTTGTGTTAAGTACCTGATCCCTGAAGCATTGAATTCCTCCTTCCCCTTCCCTATTTGTGTTAGAAGCTGAGCACTACAAAGTTGATTATTTCTTTTTGTCACTGTGTCTGCAATTTTACTTCACAACCATTAGAAGAGTAGTAAATTTGCACTTATATTTTCCTCAGGTGTGTGGTTATTGAGTCAAATTCCTATGTGGGGTATGTGGTGAAATGTGTGAGAATTGAGGATGGAAGGGAAGAGCCAAGAATCCTGAGAGTACAGTGTGTTTCTGTGTGTGTGTGTGTGTGTACCAACACAGTATGTACCAAGGAGGAGCAACCAGAGCTCCCCCTTGTTTGTCCTGTCCATCCTGTCCCCTACTCCTGTTCACCCATCTTCCATCAACTCTGAATGTGTGTTATATACTTAACTCCTGCCCAGCATGAAGCTGTGACAGGGGACTGTTCATAAAACCACTTTAACTTTTCCATTTGAGGCCTCTACAAAAAGGCAGTTGCAATCCTATTTTTGCTTTCTTCTTCCCTTTTAAAGCCCAGCTTCATTACTGGACTTGCTGAGGTGGAGGCTGGGGGCTTCCTAGCACTCCTGAAGTGGCACACACCTTTGCTTTCCTTCTCTGAGTCCAGGAGGCCATCATCCATCATGGCACACTATTTTCCTAGAACCCAGAGATGCTGCCCTCTGCTAGGAGGACAGGTTGCTCAGACCCTAGGAAGGTTGTGTGTGTGTGTGTGTGTGTGTGTGTGTGTGTGTGTGTGTGTGATTTTTACTGCTGTGTAGCTTTTCTTTTGTCTCCAGTGTTGGGCAAATGAGAAGCCTCTGTGCATTGTTGGTGCTGGGGGTTGGCAGTTGAAGCAGAGGTACCATCTTTGGGGTGTTTATGTCCCCACTCCTGTTGACCCTTGGGGATCTGGCGGAGGTCAAGATCACTGCCTCTCGAGAGGGGTGGGATGGTAAGCCCTGGGGTTCCCAGGACTGTCTCTGCCAAATGTGGTTTGCCAGGGAACAGACACATTTCGCCCCTAGTTTACTAGTGTCCAGGGGCATGGCAGTAGAGCCATGACTCCGTACTCTCTTATCCTGAGGAGAGACCATTGGGTGCAAATTCTAATGAAGAGGCTCCTAGGGATGCCCATCCACTATGAAGAGAGCAAGAAACTTGAAGTCAGAATTAGGTTTGAATTTGTGCTTGGTCCTTACTATGTGAGCTTGGTCAAATTGCTTAACCTCTCTGGTCATTAGATTTTCTCATCTATAAAATCAAGACTATTGCCTTCTTTGGTATGTTAATAAAATGAAATGGGTGTATGAAATGTCTGTGTTCCTGGTTCTAACTAACCAATATCAATCTCAACAAGGCTATGTGCCCTGATGCAGCCAGCTCAGGGGCAGGGGATCGATCATCTCAGTTCCCGTGACTGCTGTTTGTGGGCTCTGCAGTTGAGTGGCCAAAAGTCTAAATTGTGTACTGGGGAGACAGCTCAGTCTGTAAAGTACTTGCCGTACAAGCATGAGGACCAGAGTTCAGATCTACAGCACCCATGTAAAAAGCTAGATGTGGTGGCACACATCTGTTACCTCAGTGCTGGGGGAGGGTTGAGCTCACTGGCCAGCCAACCTAGCCAAATCTGTGCTCTGTGTGTGTGCCCTCTGCGCTCTGCATGTATGCACATACATGTTCACATGCATCTTTATGCATATGGGTACATACACAAAAGTGGAAGAGGTCACCTAACCATTGCTCTCTGTGCTTTGCATGCATGCACATACAGGTTCACATGCATCCTTATGTGTGTGGGTACTTACACAAAAATGGAAGAGGTCAATCGATCATTGCTCTCTGTGCTTTGTGTGCATGCACATACCTGTTCACATGCATCCTCATGTACATGGGCACACACCTGTATTCACAAACATGTAGATAACTTGCTGTGGTAAGGAGAGTGATTCAGTTTTATTTTTGCCCCCCACCGAGTACATTCAGGCCACACAGACAGACTTCTCAGTGGTCTCTTCTTCAGTGGACTGGTTTTGTGCAATCCCATACTCCTCCCAGGAAACTTGCTCCAGCTGTGAAATCGCCAGAGGGGCTGTGCTTCCTGGTATCCAGCTTGCCCCTGTGCTCTTGTGACCTCCTCATTCCAGGGCTTCCTTTCCCTCTGAGACCGTGCCCAAAGGAGCCTGTTATTTAGAAAATGGAAGTTCCAAGGCTCTGAGTTACTTTCCAACCTTGGAACTTGGGGGAAGGCGGCATATGAAGCGCCCATCCAGTGTCTGCCTCTCTATTGTGCACCAAGAGTCACCTCTGGGGGAGGTGCTGTGCTAGGTTCAGGGGACATAGAACTCTGGAAGAAGTGCTGTGTTAGATTCTGGGGACATGGAAAAAAGACACAACCCTGCCTTTAAGGAGTAAGGGAGCCCCAGGAGCAGCTGTCAGAACCAGGGCTGACCAGTACTGGTTTTCTGTGAAGGGCGCCATGGAGAGGGGTGTGAGGCCCAGAACAAGGAAATGACATGATAGTGTCCAGAATCCAGGGAGCTTCCAATGCCTGGAGATGCAAAGAGGGTCAGAGAGGTGTTCTGAGCAGCCAGGACAGCACAGAAGGGCCCAGGGCCAAGAGAGCAAGGCTAGCTTGGGAGATTCAGGTACTTGGGGAGGCTGGAGCATGAGCGGTAAGGTGCCAGGCTGAGCAGGTTTGCGGGACGTCAGAAAGGACTTCTTAGGGTATATTAGGGAGCTAATGCTTCATCTTGAGTATCATAGAAAGACTTGAAGCAGGGGAACAATGTGGGCACATTCAGAATTTAGAAAGCCAGAACCTATGACCTTGGGCTCCAGGACTCATCCATTTGCCTGACACCTCTGAGCACCTGACACCTCCCTTAAGTCTGGGAGGCTCAGAATCGCATCATAGTATAAAGGCAATTGGGCATCTTGTTAGGAGCAGAGCAGAGAGGCTTGGCAGCAGAGCAGAGGAGGTAGGGGATATATGCTGTGACATCTGCTTCTAATGCTTAGGGTGTCTGTGCTTAGATGCTGAGGGGCAGTGCTGAGCATTTGAAGTGAAACTGGCTCCTTCCTGTTCTAGCCCATCTGTACTGTTATTATCATCATTATTGTTTGGAGTGCTGGCAATGGTACCCAGGACTTCATGAGTGCTAGGCAGGTGCTCTAACACTGAAGCACATCCCCAGTCTAGCCTATTTGTATTGTTTCTTTTGATATGTTTTCTTGTTAGCTTTCTATTGCTGTGATAAAACACTCCAACCAAAACCAAATTGGGGAGGAAAGGGTTTGTTTCATTTTACAACTCATAAGTCACAGTCCATCACGGAGGGAAGTCAGAGCAGAAATTCAAGCCAAGTAGAAACCTGGAGGCAGGAACTGAATCACAGACCACAGAGGAATGCTGCTTACTGGCTTCTCCTCTGGCCTGTGCTCAGCTTGCTTTCTTATACAACCCAGGACCACCTGCCCAGGGGTGGCACCACCTACAATCAAAAAAATGCCTCACAGACATGCCCACAGGCTACTCTCATAGAGAAAATTCCCCAACTGAGGTTCCCTCTTCCAATATATGTCAATTTGACAACTGAAGCTAGCCAGCACAACTGACCCCTTGTCAACTTGACACACAAACATGTCACTATTAAACCATAACTAATTTCATTTCTTGTCCCCAAGATCTCATATTAATATTAATATAACAATATGAAACATAATACAACTTAAAAATTCCAATAGTCCTCAAAAAATTCCAGTACTTTAAAGGTTTACTGTCTCTTTTAACTGTGGGCTCCTGTAAAATCTAAGACAAGTTACATACTGCCTTATTTCAAGGGGAAAGAAACAGGGCACACTTAAGCAAAACCAAAGTCCAGGAGTATAGCTCAAATATTGGACATCTGGGATTCACTCACAATCTTCTGGGCTCCAAAGGGCATGCACAGCTCCACTTTTCTGGCTCTGCCATCCACAGCACACACAGCTTGTCTCGTAGGCTCAAGCCTGCTCCACTCCACACCTGCCATTGCCCTTGGTGGTCCTCCCATAGTCCTGGCATCTCCAATATATTGGGGTCTCTACTGCACCCCCTTCACCAGTGGTGTCTCCTGGTCTCACATGGTGTCAAGACTTAGATCATCTCTGTGATCCCCTCAGGTCTGGGGGTCTTCATTACAACTGAGGCTGTGCCTTCACCAATGGTCTTTCCTGGCCTTTCATGGTGCAAGGCCTCAGATTGTCTCCATGACCCCTTCAGTTCTGCAGGTGTCTTGTCACCAAAACAGATTCTCAATTCAAAATATCATACAAACAACCTTGATAGTCTGTGATAGACTTTCAAACTTCCCTCTGAAACTTCACAAACCAGGACTCTGTCTTCTATACCTTTCAGCATTATTTTCTAACTTACCACAGAACAGCTCTAAGCACTCAATGACTTTTCTAGTTCAAAGCTCTAAAAACTTTCACAATCTTCCTCTAAACAGCATGGTCAGGTCCATCACAGCAATAACCCACTCCTGTACCAACTTCTGTTCTAGTTATCTTTCTAATGCTGTGATAAAACGCTCTGACCAAAACCAATTTAGCAGAAAGGGTTTATTTCATCTTACAAAGCCCAGGTCCAGTCCATCACTGAGGGAAGTCAAGGCAGGAAGCAGGGCAGGAACCTGGAAGTAGGAATGGAAGCACAGACCACAGAGGAATGCTGCTTACTGGCTTGCTCCTCTGGCCTGTGCTCTGCCTGCTTTCTTATACAACATAGAACTACTTGCCCAGGAGTGACACCACTCATGGAGAACTGGGCCCTCCCACATCACTCTGCCTGTCAACCTCTAGTTTTCTTTCTCAGAGGCTGTTCATCTTGGGTTTTTGTTTTGTTTTATTATTATTATTTTTTAATGATTAGGCTAGGCTGGCTGGCCAGTTCCAAGGATTGATCTGCCTGTTCTCACCTTCCCAGTGATGGGATTAAAAGCACAGATCACCACACCTGTTTGTTTGTTTGTTTGTTTTTTTAATGTGAGTGTTAGGGCTTGAACTCCAATCCTTATGCTTCATTTAACAGATTTAGCTATCTCCCCAGCTCTTACTTGTATTTTCATTGCTCCCATTTTTCAGGTAATGAGATCAAGATCTAGAGTTCTCAGTTGCT